AAAATGATCTTCTTCTCTCCAAGCTGCTGTTATCTGCCATCTCTGGGGTCTCTGAGGGCGCGGCGCGAGTGCGCCTCTCTCTTGCGCGTGTGTTTTAAAGCATTCCCTACCAGGACATTCAGTTCAGAAATCTGGATAAAGTGTATCTCTACCCTTTTCTTATACTGCTCATCCAGTCGGTCACACAGTCTTATCACTTGACAGGGCATTTCTTTTATGTAATTTCTCCCCACAGCCACAGTCCTCATTAGTTCAGTCCCGGGGTTCTCAAAATGTGGTCCCCTCACCAGTAGCAGTAGCATCAGCAGTAACTTAATTAGAAATACAAATTCTTGGGCTGCTCCTGACCTACTGAATCAGAAACTCTAGGGTGGGGTCCAGTAATCTGTGTTTTAACCAATTCTCTAGGTAATTCTCTAGCTGAAGTTTGAGAACCATTGCTTTAGTCTACTCCCCACTAATCCACTCTCCACACTATTAACATGGCTATCTTGCAAAAAAAAAAAAGCCCCAAACAAATGTGATTGTGTTTCTGCTTTGCTTAAAGGTCCTCAGTGACATTTCTGACTAGAAAGTGTACTCTAAATTTCGTAGTACAGCATAAAACACCCATCAGGATCTAGTTCCTGCATCAGAAAGTAAGGCACAACCAAACATTTTAGTAAAAATGCATTGTCCTGCCCAGGCTGGTTTGGCTTAGTGGACAGAGTGTCGGCCTGAGGACTGAAGGGTCCAGGTTCAATACCAGTCAAGGGCACATGCCCAGGTTGAGGGCTTGGTTCCAGTGGAGGTTATGTGGGAGGCAGCCGATCAGTGATTCTCTCTCTCATTGATGTTTCTCTCTCCCCCTCTCCCTTCCTCTGTGAAATCAATAAAAACATATTTAAAAAATAAGCTCCGAGGATCAGAAGATTAAAAAAAAAAAAAAAAAGAATGCATTGCCCTGTAGTGGTTAAAATGAGCGGTGGAATCCTGCTGCCTGGGCTTTCAACCTCTACTTCACCACTACATCTGGCTGAGTGACCGTGGATGAGCCCACTTAACCTCGCGATGCCTCAGTCCCACCATCTGTAAAATGAGAACAATGATTTCCTAATCATGAGGTTGCTGTGCAGTTAGCACAATATGTGGCACTTAGTCTGAACTCAGTGATTGTTACCTATTATTATTTTAATTATTTAAAAAATATTACTGGGGTGAACCAGGAGTGTAGCAACAACAGGAGAGGACTGAAATGGCTAAGGGAAGTGGTCCCCACGAAGGAGGTCCACTTCTCTGCGCAGTTTCACTTCGTCTAGATGTCAATAAAAATATCCAGATTCTCAAGAGAGAGGTTCGGAGGTCTTTGAGGCTCTTTTGATTAGAGTGAGGTGGATCTATAATCAGACTCCACAATGTTATAGGAAAGAAAAGACACACACGCTTCTAAAGTGAGCCAGGAAGCTAATTGTGAAGGAAACAGGAAAACTCAAGGACACAGCAAAGATGGTGAATAATTTCATATTTGTTTCTCTGATAAACCTTGATAAAGTTAAAGCTGCCTACTGATTAAATATGAGAGTCCTAATGCGATGAAGCTTTGAGTAATGATGGGAATCAGGTTCCAACCTCCATCACAAATTAGTTATGATCTTGGGCAAATAACTTCTTTACTGCCTCAATTTTGGCTACACAATGAAGACTACTACATATATACTGTTTATTTATTGGTACTGTGTCTATTATGTGTGAAGTATTAAATACATGGCAGCTATTATTATTATTGGAAGTATATCTGTGCTGTATAGAAGAAAAAAATACTATGTAGATTAAAAGTCTTTACCAAAGTGACTAACTTTTGAAAACTCTACTTCTCATCTTCTTTTTCTTCCTCTGAATTAGTCCCAATCCATTTTTACCTACTCCATCTTTAGGTACAGCAGGGAGTCAGTATCTATAAAAAGTGGTAACTGCCACCCACTATAACAGAAGGTAGCAGTCACTTGTTTTGTTTCTCTGCTATATTCTCAGTGCAGAGCGGGAAGTTGAGTCTTGTTCCCTTTATTCTACACAATGTGGCTCATTCTGGTACTTCAGCTGTTAATTCAGATGTTACCTACTCAGCCCTGGACAGTTTGGTTCAGGAGTTAGAGCACTGGCCCACAGACCAAAGGGTCACAGGTTCAATTCCTGGTCAAGGTTTGTACCCCAACCCTGGTAGGAACATGTGTGGGAGGCAATCAATCTATGTTTCTCTCTCTCTCTCTCCCCCTCCTCCTCCTCCTCCCTCCCTCCCACTCTCTCTAGAAATCAATGAAAAAAATACGCTTGGGTGAGGATTTAAAAAAAAAAAAAAAAAAGAGAGAGATCCCAGATGTAACCTACTCAGAGAACCTTTCTCTGGGCTCCGCTCTAAAGCTTTTCCCTCCCCCACCTCGAATACTCTCAAGCACATCCCATTGTTACCTTCAGAGCTCTGCCCTTGTGGTGAATGCTGTGATGTGCCACCCTGATCGCCCTTAGGAAAGAGACACTTCCCCAGCTCCTTGGAGTGCTCAGTGGTCAGTCCTCCTCCAGGACTGACTAGGCTAAAGAGACCTGAAGCTATGCCCCCTTCCCAGGGCAATGGCTATCCAATCAACGCAGGGGTAGAAAGCCTTGGCCCAGCGGTTCTCAACCTGTGGGTCTCGACCCCTTTGGGGGTCGAACGACCCTTTCACAGGGGTTGCCTAAGACCATCGGAAAACACATATGTAATTACATATTGTTTTTGTGATTAATCACTATGCTTTAATTACGTTCAATTTGTAACAATGAAATTGGGGGTCACCACAACATGAGGAACTGTATTAAAGGGTCGCGGCATTAGGAAGGTTGAGAACCACTGCCTTAGCCCTTCCCTCCAACCTGGGACAACTTTGAAGGCCCAACCCAGCACCAGTGCTCCTGAGACAGGCCTTCCTCGGGACTGCACTGCAGCTCACCCTTCCCATCCACCCCACCCTGCTCGCTTTCTTCCTAGTGACCCAAAAGCCCTTCCTAAGAAACGTCCTGCCCTCAAGTCTCCGAGAGCCTGCTTCCTAGTAACCCAGTGGTTCTCAACCTTCTGGCCCTTTAAATACAGTTCCTCATGTTGTGACCCAACCATAAAATTATTTTCGTTGCTACTTCATAACTGTAATGTAGCACTGTTATGAATCTTAATGTAAATATCTGATATGCAGGATGGTCTTAGGCGACCCCTGTGAAAGGGTCCTTCGACCGCCAAAGGGGTCGCGATAACCCAACCTAGGAGAACCTGGAAATATCGCCTTCACTTATCAATGGGCATGTTTACTGTTTCTTCGCTAGAATATAAGCTCCACGTGGTCAGGGACCATGCCTGTCTTGGTCACTGCTGTATCTGCTAACTCAGCAATATATATATATATATATATATATATATATATATATATATATATGGTAAGTATATGTAAATTACATAGTGTACATATATATTACACAATCTATATAATCAGGGTGTCCCCCCAAAATGTATACACACTTTAACAGTGATAGTTCAACTCTGAAAGTGAAATGCATTTTTTAAAAAAAACATATTTCTTTATTGATTTCAGAGAGGAAGGGAGGAAACATCAATGATGAGAATCACTGATCGGATCCTCCTGCACACCCCCCTACTGGGATCAAGCCCGCAACCCAGGCATGTGCCCTTTGGCTGGAATCGGACCTGGGACCCTTCAGCCCGCAGGCCGATGCTCTCTCTATCATTGAGG